CACTTGAAGCTTGGGGAAGTTGGTGTCTTAGGTCTTATGGATCATATGCCCACGCAAGAGCGTTGGTCTTGTATAAGACCAAATCAGGATCCAAGCTAACCAAGACCGAATAAGGTCAGTAGAGAAGGTGTTTTTACTGGTACGTTAGCAGGGATGTTCCACCAGCAAGTTAGCAGGCGCCTTCGCATAAGTCCTCCCCAGCTCGAACATATCTGGCTGTGTTGGCCCTGGGAAAAGATCGATTTAATTTCGTTGGCCAGCATGGCCTTGGACCTGCATGGATATATCGGCAACACCCCCCCGCAGAGCTGGGTTCGCTAAGCTAGCGGACGGTTGAGAATGGCTTTTAATCCATGTGCATTCATTCCTGTCACCCAGTTCCTCAAGACCATATCCACTACTACCATCTCAATGTCGGCTTGTATGACGCAAACGGTAAGGCGCCCGAGAAATATATACTAATATAGTAGCGTTTGCTCATTTACACTAATAGGTCACCAGCCTCAAATAATGGAACCAGAGACCGAGAAGCAGGATGTCATTCTATATCAGGCCTCGTTATCCACGCCCCCACTGACGCCCCCCCTTCCGCCGGCTACCCCTTCGCTGCCTATCGACATTGAGCCCATCCGTAACGTACTACTTTCCTTCCTTTCCACCATGAATGTTCAATTCCCGCCCATCCTGGTCGACCCCGCACCGATAATTGAAGCCTCACGGGCCGAGGCGATGAAAATGAACCTACCCACCGCTGGCGTGAATTCACCTACGTTTCAGGCAGCCATGCGCGCTGCGGCGCCGATGGCGCTGGAGACGTATGGGCATCTGGATGCAGAGTGCCGCTCATGGGCATGTCTATATACGACTTGCACAATCTACCTGGATGACATGGCACGGATCCCTACGCAACTTGACATGCTACGCTCCTTCAATTCTCTGTTTATCACAAATTGCGCGCAGCTGGACCCCGTATTGGACGTGTTCGCGGGCCTGCTGCGTATGGCGGACGTGTATTTTGGCCCAACGTCTGCAGCGTTGATTGTAGCAAACAACCTAGACTTTGTGGCTTCGCTAGTGCTGGAGCAGGATCAACAGGATATGCAGGTGCGTGGGCTTGGCTAAGTATAGCAAAGGTACTTATGAGGTGACGGACATAGCTGCACGAAGACGCGACAAGCTACCCAACATACTTCCGGAGCCTAACTGGAGTGGCGCGCGCGTTCGCGTGCCTCGCGTTTCCCCAGCATATCCCACATCGGGACTACATCCAAGTTCTGCCCGATCTCATGCGCTTCATCGATGACGTCAAGTATGCATGTCCCTCTCTCTGCTTCATCCCCTCTGACCCCCCGCAGCGACGTGTTGTCGTTCTACAAGGAAGAGCTCGTACAAGAGGATGATAACCACATCTCACTGATTGCCAAGGTGCGCGGGTGCACAAAGTTGGAGGCATTGCGGGACCTCGCAGCAGCGTCGGCCGAACGCAGCGAGCGCATCCTGCGGATTTTGCGCAGTACAAATATGCAAGCACATGACATGATCGCGTACGGGTTCTTCCCCGGATATATCAACTTCCATGCACTCTCGAGCAAGCGGTATAAGCTCTGCGATCTCCGGCTGGAGACGCGGTGAATAATGTAGCGATCTGTGCGAGCACAACTGTAGCGCGTAGTGCAGCCGAAAAAATCGATTATGCGTAACGTCCCTTTGGTTGTTGGGGAAAAAACATGATCCAGGAATTCGGCCTTCACTTGTTGGGACCAGCCGTGCGGTTGGTATAAGTTTTTCAGGTCAGGGCAGGGAGATCTTCGTACTCAGCTTCAAAATTTCTCCTGCCTCCCTCAGGCCCTGTTTCAGCGCACCGAATCCAAGACAATATCTTGCGATGGAGAAGTAAAATAAGCAAAATAATATAGTACTGGATTCAAAACGTATACATCCAAAAGGCACGTCTACTAATACGAGAATACGAAAAAATCTACCATCACGTCACCGTTTGTCGCTGACTCTGCAGCCTATACCCCAACCGAGGGCACCCAGGCCCGCGCGCTACTGGCGGAATCCCCGGCCTCTGTTCGATCTTCTCCCAATCCCTACCATACAAATCATCAGCTAATGAGCCGGCGCAAGTAGGCGGGGCACTTACAGTCCAATCCAGTACGGGTGCTTCTTTATTTGGCTCAGCGTGGGTCTGTCCCGTATATCATGGGCGAGTACCTGGGTCAGCAGGTCGCGCTCCCAGTATCCAGTGAATGCGTCGTTGCTTATGAGGTAGTAGCATGGCTTATTTGCTGTGATGGGTTGCCCAGCGCCATCACGCGAGAGCCGAATTGGGAACTATACACCATTAGCCACAGCGCCCCTCGCCACAAGAGTAAAAAAGAACATACCGTGCCGACGAGCATACAATACAATGTCACTCCCCATGCGAAGCAATCTGCGCGCGTGTCGTAGAGTTGGCCCAGGACCACCTCAGGCGCCATAAACCCAGGCGTGCCGCAGGTGCCGCGTGTCCATGCATCGTCCCCCGTGCCAAAGCGCACAGCGAGTCCCATGTCAATGACCACGAGGTGGCCAGCCTTGTCCAGCAGGACGTTCTCGGGCTTGATGTCGCGATGCATAATGCCGAGCGCGTGTGCGTGTGAGATTGCGATAAGCTGGGGTGCGGTTAGTAGGGAAGGATTGGAAAGATGGGCACGAACAAGTTCAGCGGCGTAGAATCTCGCGACGTGGGGATGTAAGCGGCCGCCTTGGCTCCCGATATAGTCGTGCAGAGACCTTCCAGAGTGCAATTCCTGCGAGCCCAGTAAGCAGTTGTTACGGGGGATTCCGGAACATACCATAGCGACAAAGACCTTGTCCCGTGTACTGAACGCGCCGTAGAACTCGGGGTACCACGGGCTCCGTCCAAGCATTTCAGTCAGCACGACCTCGTTTAAGATGTATTCATATCCCTTCTCTGACCAGTGGCGTACGCATTTCACTGCGACTTCCTGTCCCGTTCGCCGCACGACCGCTTTATATACAGCTCCAAAGCCGCCAACACCAACGAAGGAGTGCCAGGCTAGGTCCTCGTAGTCAAAGTCAGCTTGTTCTGGGCCAAGAGGGAGGGCACGGAGTTGTGCGAGTTGCGAAGGGCTGTCCGGTTCCTGGCGTCCATGTTCAAGTGCATGTGGGGGAGGTTGGTCGGGCAGCGACAAGTAGGCGGGGGCCTGCTCAACTAGACGGGATTCTTGAATATTATCAATAGGGAGAGGCAGACCGGCAGCAGAAGCCTGGGGCACAACGCAAACCGGGACCAAGTGCGTAGCGTATATTTGCAATTTCGGGGCGAGACGAGGCGGCTGTTCAGAGAAGACGATAGTGGTAGGTATGCCGATGGGTGGAATAATAATGTTTGGAGGTGGGGCCGAGCGTTGTATAGAGTGGCCTAGCGGCTGGCCCTTCTGAAGGGGGTGCAGAGATGGGATACTGGGAGCACAGGAGTCGAAAGCCGACTTGTGTCGGAGCAGAGCTGCGAGGCAACAACAAGCTCAGCACGACCAGAGATGAAGCCGAGCCCGCGTGCACGAGCCCTCTTCGCCCGGAAGATATCATAACACAAAAAGCGAGCGCAGCCGTAACACAAGTAACCAACACGAAGACATCGACTCCATTTGATGTATCCGGGCTAGGACTGGTGGTCGTAACAAGCGACGGCACCGGTGCATATCTGGAAGGCAGGCCATGAGCCGCCCGCGTGCGTGATGCTTGGGCACCTGGCTCGGGCGGTGCGCACCATGTATAGTTACGATGGAGCGTGTCGCGGGCGCCGAGAGCCCACTGCGGCAAGTATGCCGCGATCACCCAGTGTATCGAATCCATTCCACGTTGAAATGTGAAGCGCGGATCTAGAGGCCGGAGATTGGTTGCGAGAAAGTGTTTCATGTGTGTCGATGTGCAGCAGTGGTGGGATCGGTCAAGTTGAATCGAGCTTCACGTATCCGTGGGATGCCTTTTATACTCTGCCCCGCCACACTGCTGTCGATGCAAGTACACTATGCGCATGCCACCGCAGTGGTGGGGGGAGGGGGGGCACTCACAGAGCGCGTTGATAACATTGCGGTGTGGCCCGGACACCCCCGGGTCAGACTTGGGGGCTAGTACTACTCAGACACCTGCCAAATGGGGTGTGTATTCAGCTCCGCCTGATATCCTATCCCGAGGCAGGGGTATTGTGGGCGCGTGTGGGCGCGCGAACACAAGCGCAGGAATGGAGCATGAGGCGAAAATAGGCGCTAAACTCCGACGAGCAATTAGAGTACCCCATCTCCTGTCTCCAAATTCCCGAGGGCAGTACCGCCGTATAGACAGACATCCTCACCATTTAGGCCTATAACAAAGACGTTGAGTACCCTGTAGCCGCGCGTCGGACCTGTGGACGTCGAGATGCCCAGGGCACACCAGAATGCCAGTGATAGACCCTCTTATTAGATAATGACATAGCCATAGACACATACTTCGATAGCAGTTGCGCCCCATTTTACGCTGGCAGTGCGTAAAATGAGGCGCGATCGAGCCAAAGATCCTCAATGTGGTCCGGACGTGTGTTGTGTGTGATGTATGTGGATGGGAATATCAGTAGGAAAAGCCGCTGCGGTTTGAAGCATGCTTGGGTACTTTTAAACCAGGAAAATCGGAAAGTGGGTTGTAGGTGTCAATTAATTACAAAATCGAGCAAAGTCCCAAGTTGGGCGAGGTTAAATTTTCTATCGTGAAGCAACTAAATTTTTTTCGTCAGGGATTATGCGTTTCTAACGTGAACCACCCCAGGGGGGTGACCAACGCCTGCGGCTTTCGCATTCGTGAAAGAGAGGGTATAGAATTGGGCTATGAGCCAGTTGAGTTGCAAGGAATGGGGGCCCAACGGGTTTGTCACTCAGCTTTCGTGAAACACCACCCAGAGTGCATCCGCCGGGCATGACCGCTCAACGTAGTTGTTGCCACGAGTCCATGATCACGGGGGCATAGCTCAGTTGGGAGAGCAGCAGACTGAAGTGCTTGGCGTATTCTGAAGGTCCCGCGTTCGATCCGCGGTGCCCCCATTTTTATTCCAACTACTTCCAGAAGGTATTCATACATCCGATTTACTTTTTACCTTGGACTAGTTAGTACTCGCCAAACCGGACGTGGCCAGTCTGCTCCGCGTGCTGGCGAGCGCCCTTTTCGCCTTTGAGTCCCTGACCGCAGTCCTACAGGTCATAGGATGTTCATGAGCCACAAGGGGGAAGAAGGAGAGAAGGGCTCACTTCGCACTTGAGATCAAACGTGGCGGTATTCGTAAACGCCTTTTTTTCGCGGAGGATCTGAGCAAGATGTTTTGCGCCGCGGAGGACGGGGTCGGCGTCGTCTGGGGATATCTGCTGGGGTTTGTGAGTTGGTGCGGGGTGAATATGGGAGGGGGCGCACGGCGGGGAAGACGGTTTGGTGCCACTCTGAGGGAGCGTCGGGGCTGGGCGCGAGCGTGGCGGCGTCGTAGTGGATGCCGGAGTATATGACGATGGCGCGGGGCGAGGTGTCGGACGCAGGACTGCAGCAGAGTGAAAACAGGTATGTGTCAGGAGAGTGGCACGCACGGAGGGGTAAAGTGATCGATGCGGCCGGACTCGACGTCGACGCTGGCTATCTCGGTGTTGTAGTGTGCGGCGAGGACGGTGAGCTCGATTGCGCCGCCCCATGTTGCGGGTTTGAGAATGGTGGTGATGTATTGCGCTGGGGGCATGCTGCTGGGGGTCAGTGGTGGCAAGGGGGCGGAGGGAGGATATACCCAAGGATGGCTTCGCTGTACTTGTCGGGGTCATTGCGGATGGCGTCTGCGACGACTTGGGGACTGTGAGGTGGGATGGGGGTGCAGTGTGCATGTACGCACTTTTGCGCAAGCGGGGTGCGTTTGCTATATCCTGTTCAAACAAGAGCGCGACGGCGGAAAAGAGACACGAGTTATCGTCTGGCACAATCTGGGGTACCCCTCAGCCTGGAAATTGAGTCAAGGGTGCGACATACTCTATGGATGAGAAAACTGCCGTCGACCTGGACTGAATCTGGACCAGATGCGGCAGCGGTTGGCCGATCGGGAGCGATTGGAGCGGCGGGTGCTGACGGAGGTGGGGCGGCGAGTTCAGAGACAATGATCTGGTCGCCATTGACAAGACCCAGGCTGGACAGGGGCAACTCGGGGACAAGAGTGAGCTGGCGGGGGGGATACCCGCACTTGACTAGGGATCACGGCATGTCAGCGTGGACCCCCAAAGAGTCCAAGATGAACGCACGGCTCTGGCGAGACGGAAGAATATCAGCGAGTTGGTGGATCTGGTGTAGCAGATCTTGGACAGTGAGATCATCGCCGATCTCTAGCGTCGACACGCCCTTGGCATGACGCAAACGGAGACGCATCGTCGACAGCGGAAGAGCCAGAAGACTGTTGTGCCTATTTGCATGACGCACTCTATCCGCCCCGACGTCATGCGCCCCTCATTCTCCATCTCACGCTACGTCATCACACCAGCGCGTCCTGGCTATAAAACCAGTCGCGTCCAGCACTATAATCTTTACCACACCTCAATCACACACATCCACTAATCAACCAACCAACCTTTCTTATAAACACACATCATGTCCGACACTGGCCGTCAATCCCTCACCGACAAAGCTGGCGCGGCGATCAAGCCCGACTCTCAAAAGTCCACCACAGAGCACCTTGGCGACAAATTCAAGGGCAACACCGATTCTGCTGCGTCCACCCTCCAGCCCAATGTCCGTGAAACCTCTCTCTGCCATTACATCGCCCACTTACATTTGATTCAGAGCGAAAAATCAGCTGGTCAAAGAGCCGGGGACACCTTAGCGGAAACTCCAACAACAACGAGGTCAGTCTCCCCGCATCCACCCCTGTCTTTCCTAAGCTTACCCATTCCCTAGGCTTCCCTCACCGAGAAGGCCAAGAACGCCGTCGGCCTTGGTAACAAGTAAATGTATTTGATGTCGCCACGCATTCCATAAACCATAAATCAATGTTGTAATCATACACGTAACAATATGTTTTGCAATTAAGTGAAAAAAAATGGGGGCACCGCGGATCGAACGCGGGACCTTCAGAATACCGCAAGGCTTCAGTCTGCTGCTCTCCCAACTGAGCTATGCCCCCAATGAATAGTCATTGGAGTCTTGTCTCTGCATACATTGCTCCGGCAACTCTGAATTTGAGTCCCAAAACCACGTGCACCTAATCGCCATTTCTGATGGCATTCCAACACTGCCCCGGGCGTATTCAACACCAAGTGCGGATCGGCTACGAGAATGTTGGCGCTCAACAACGCGCCCCGCTTGTTCGGCCTCTAGCCAGAGTCAACTCACCACGTTCGGGAAGCGCAGTCAGCTTGGAGCTACATGTCCACAAATTAGTATCATAAACACAGCTTCATGTCTCTCTCATCGAAGCTGGCCACTCTATTCTTCCATTGCCCACTGCCTCGGCCTCAGCCGAGCCAAGTAGACTTGAACACCCTTCAAATTTGGCAGACCGGCCCCGGGATTCGGATGTCCAAGTCCGCACTGCAAAGTTGTCAATGTACTCTGAGAGTGCTGGCTCATGCTGCCGTGGGGCGTGCGTACACTAGCAATGCACATCGACAGCAATGGTAATGTGGGGGTATATAATCAGGCGTGTGCACCGAGGGGATCCTATACAACGCGACAACACCAACTACTCCTACATGAAATATTTACTTCAACGCGGAATAGATTCTATACACTGGCCCCCACGGGCGCTCGGCATACGCCACGTGTTGGGCGCACCACTCCGCCCGATCTGGCGAGAATACAACCCAACCCGCCGGCCTCCCGCACATTAGTCGCTCCAGGTCTTCCTCGTCACGATGTGCTGGCGCCACCGCCTGCTACGGCCACCAGCCTCCATCCGGAGCTATCAAGTGGTGACGGCGATTTCGCATTGGTTGCTTGTGTTGCAGCTGTGTTCGCCATTTTGGTCTTCTGGATGAAGAAGGCTCGTACAAGGTCGCTGCGCCGCAAGATCCCAAGGTACCTGTCCTGCCTGGAGCTCTCGTGACGCCTAAAGTTTCCACTACGGCGCGTATTGATGTCGGACCCCTGCTTCGCCCCCTGGTCTTCCCACCCCGCGCATCTCTTCCGACAGGACCAGCCACCCATATGCGACTCTAGGCTGCTGTTGGCTCACGCCGCAAACGCTGCTGATCCCTTCCACCAAACGCATCCCCACTCTTTTCGCTTCGTCTGAACAGCCACCTCGTCTGCTCAGGAATCGCAGAGGCAAGGATCTGCTGCATGGTCAATCCAAGTCTGCGTTGCACCCACTGCCTCTGCTTCTGCCGCGCCTCTCCCGTTGATCACGGCCAAGTGTCCTGCCACGCTAAGCAGCAAAGTGCCCATCCGGCTAGACCCGCCCCCGCCCGCCTCTCGCTGCCCGACCAACCTCCCCCCCAGACACAACGAAGACACCAAAACCAGACAATCCCTCACACCTCGCGCGGCTCCACGCTGTCCCTCTGGGCTTGGACCACCCTGGTTTCGACTACAAGGACCTGGACTGGCGCTCTTTCCTCGGCGCCGGGGGGTTCGGGACCGTATACAAGGCTGTTGTGCGGCACACTAAACGAGAGATCACGGTAAAATGTGTGCGCCACTGGACGGAACGGGGATACGAGCGGATCTTAGACGAGCTTGCGCTAGCTCGGGTGCTTGGACAGAGCCCGTGGTACGCCGAGCTCTATGGCGCGTTCTGCACATGGGATAGGGTGTTCATCGCTATGGTATGTCTTTAAGCTTTGGCGCGCATCACGCTCACTGGGTTCATAGGAATTCCATTCCGGTGGGACTCTCCTTGACTATATCTGGAACCAGGGTGGGCGGCTGCATCCCCGCGCCGCAAGGTTCTACGCTGCCGAGCTGGTCCGTTTCTCCACTTCCAATCTTTCCCTACTGACCGCACTCCAGCTTGTTGCGGTGTCGCACGCACACGCCCTCGGCATCATGCACCGCGACATCAAACCCGACAACATCCTCCTGGACAAGACAGGCCACATCGTGATCATCGACATGGGGATCGCCGTACGCTTCGGCGCGGGGGACGACGCGTGGACAGCCGGCGCGTACGGTACCGAGGGGTTCATGGCGCCCGAGTGGCACAGGGGCTGCGCTACGACACACGCGTGGATTGCTTCGCGTGGGGGGTCACACTGTATTACATGCTCACCGGCACGGTGCGTCTTTTGCCCGGACGTGGGATGCCACTGATGGTGTCTGCTCAGTTCCCTACCCGGCTCTCGCAGATAGCAAAGGGCAGCCCATCGGGGCGGGCGGACTATCATATTATGATATCAACAATGACGCACATATTGGGTACTGGGAACGCGACCTGTTGGCCCAAGCCCTCGCCCATAGGATCCAAGACAGACCCACATTCAGTCAGACAAAGAGCCACCCGTATTGGGTGGGACTGTGAGTGCCCCGCCCCACCTACTCCCGCTGGCTAATGATTCGAATTTCGCGCGGCAGTGATTGGGCGAAGGTTGAGCAGAGGCTGGCGAACCCGCCTCCGGCGCGCGGGGTTGGATGTCCCCGGTTAGAGCGCCGTCTGCGGACTCGGCGGCAGACGATGGCCTGATGCTGGGTTTATTTTTTCGTATTCTTGTAGACGCGCTGCTTATTTGTGGTACTTACGAGTCCGATAATACCATCTTGCTCCTCTGACGGTTGCGCACAAGGTGGGAGATGCCGGTACTGAAGATGGGCGAATAACGTTGCCATCGAACTCGCGAACAGAGCCGATTTAGGCTTGACGAGTTTGCTATCATCTGTCTGCTTCCACTACAAAGCCATCTTCGCACATGCGTCTTTTCACTCAAACGTATACACTCTGTCAACATTTCGATGCCATATCATAACACGGGGTTTGAGGCTCGGGGATACTAGTTGGACAGGAACAGATTCATTTCCAATATTTCGTATACATATGTATCAGCAGCCTTTAGTGTTCCTGACTTCAACAGGCTGTTACATCATCATCCGC